GTGTTTAAATAGATATATCCTTAAGGAATACCAAGAGTAGTTATCATGTACTTCGTAAGGATGCCATAACCGGTTCTATTCCCGGTTTAGCTCAGACAGTGGGCGACGCGACGGCGTCCCTATAATGGAGTTAACAAACAAGCAGATAATTAAATTGTAATAGACATTCTGAGAATGCTGTGTTGCTGTTCGTGAAATGACTTTATTTTTTAACCGACTTCATAAAAGTGAAAGCTTTCAGTTTGACTTATTTTTTGTGTGTCTTACTCGAATCATTGACAATTCAGAACCAATTGTAATGATTCTTTTTTAATTGGAAGATTTTACTTGTTACTTCCATGTTTACTTTATAATTTTCTATTATTATCTATATCTTGTTTGAATCGAAGCATTTGGCATTGGCCTAATGGGAAACAGGCGTAACAGATATTTGTGTATGTATGTATGTACTATGTAATATAATATGTATATGTATTAACTTTCTCTTCTTTTTTCTGAAGTACAAAATTTTTTCCTAATCTAAAACTTTACTAGAAATGCGTATGTACGTGTGTACATTGAACATTATGTAAGTAACGAAATAAGATTCTCTATTTGTTTGTCTGTGCACGCATTACTTAAAAACCTGAAAGGATTTAAATAATAACATTTAATTATACAACTATATAAGCTGTAGCAATTTCTGTTTTATATTTATATATGTGTTTTGTTGTTTCTGTATTTATACAAAGTTTACTTGTGTAGTACACGGCAACTAGTATAAAATGAGCCGTTATGTTCTTAACAATTATGTTCTAAGCATATTACCATACTCTTATATTAAATGGAAAATATTGGAGTCCGACAGTTCAAAGTACAATAGTTGTATGTTATGCAAAATGTGAACCACATCGTGCTCGATGTCATGATATAAAATTGCACGACTCTCATCGAGATGTGGGAATAGAGCGATGAAGCGCTGCACGTTCTAAATTTAAATATATATATATTGTAGTAGTTTCTAAGCTAAATTAAATTTTAAAATCACTAAAATTTAATGTAAGCATTCTACAGAACAACCAGAGAGCCTACCATGAAATGTTTTCCGAAATTTCGGAGCCGAAAGAAACAAATTGAATGTTAAAATTATATTAATACTTGCCGTTTAAAAATATTTAAAATATGAAAATATTATTCCTTGGGACTTTTATCGTAGGATTTATGACGAACGAAATGTTAAGCTCCACTTATGGGCCCGATTTAGGTGTGAACAAAAACACAAAATTGAGTCCGAAACTTCGGAATTTCATTTCATGGTAAGCCCCCAGGTTATAATGAGCCGTTAATAATATACAATTTTGTTCTAAAACAAATAATATTTGTATATAGCACAGCGATAATTGGATGTACAAAATGTGCTCAATGTTGTGATCATGATATTATATTGCACGACTCTCATCGGGATCTGGAAATAAAGCGATGAAGCGCTACATGTTCTAAATTTGAAACAATAGAAATATTTTTTTGTAATTTTTATTTTACCTTTTAAATTTAGAACAATAAATATTTTGTGCTTACTATAAAAGTGGTATCTGTAGTAATACTGTATAAAAACCTGTATACCACAGTATAAAAAACCTACTTTTGCTATTAATTATGTTGTGATATAAATTAAATACAAAGTGCCTCATAAAAATCAAGATTATAAACCTATATTTAATTCGTTTTTAATACCAATATCCCAAAACCGAGTTGGCAATATGCCGGCCATATAGCTTGAGATTCATCTATCAATGGAGAGAAAAAGACTTGCGTTGCACAGCTGCTGGATAGAGCAATAACTTTAGGTATGTTGCAGAGAATCAGTGGATGCAGGTGACTCAAGACTGTTTACTTAGTGACTTATAACAGTCTTTGGGGAAGATCTGTATGGATAATGACGACTTTAATGATAATTACTAAACCTTGTGTTGTAAAGTTATATAGATAGATGTTTGTTTTCTTTCACGCAAAGATTACTAATCAGATTTGAATGAAATTTAGTGCACGCATAAGCTATATCCTAACTTAAGACATAGGATGCTTTATACATTAATTCACCTTTTAACGATGTCGCTTAATACCGTGAACAATTAAAGCGATGTATTCGCTTTATTTACAGAAAAGGAGCGTGGAATATGAAGTTGGTATGATCTCGAGGTTAATGTCGAGGGCCTGCATAAGTCACAGACATGAAACTATGTTTTATGAACATTCCGTACACGTATATTTTATTTATACCTATATTCATCATCATCATTATATTAACCTTTGACTGTTCACTGCTGAACATAAGCCTTGAGAGGTTTTGCCAGTAGTTGCCACGCTTAGCAGGCGGATTGGTCCACAGTCAGGCTTTAGAGATATTTTAAGAGGGACGCTACTGCCCATCCCTCGCCTTCCCTTGGTCGCCTCTTACGACACTTACGGGATAGGAAGGGGTGACCTATTATATGCCGGGAGCATACGGCCGTAGTAATGTATAAGCGTAGAATATATTTATTTTTAAAACATCTGGTATTTACGATTGGGGTGTTTTGCCAGTAGGTACCACGCTAACATGTGGTGGCGAATTCATTAGGAATTTTTTTTTTTTTGGTGCAATTAAATACATTGGTAACCTCGCCTGCGCTAACGGGATACGCTGGTGGAGCACCAGTGAAGGGTGATAGATGAGAATGAAAACAGGCCAGTTAGCTTATCATGATGAATTCATCAGGAATTAACCATGATAGTTTCAGGGAGAACCGCGAGGAGGTCGACCTAGTTGGGTATATTGCTAGCAATGGGATTTTTAGTCTCCATTACTAACAATCCCTTTCCTCCCATCATTAGGAATTGAACACGATAATTTCCAAGGGGGGCAACGTGGAAATCAACCTGATAGAATCAGGAGCGAAGGGATTGTTAGTAATGGGGAGGTTAGTCCGCATTGCTATCAATATACCCTATCAGGTTGACCTCCACGCGGTTCCCCCTGGAAACTAACGTGTATAATTTATCGTTGAATTTGTCACGATGGGCTAATGGATCTGCTTTTTCATCCTCATCTATCAAATCTTACTGGTATCCCGTCAGTGTATACACATAGAGCAGGTGGGGCAAAGCAAAAGCGACAGCACGCATTCTGAATCCTCTGTATCATTAGACGAGATGAAGTAAGGAGACGAGGCCCGTAGACCAGATCACCATAATTTAATCTGAATAATACAAGAGATTCACAGAGTGCAAAAAAAAACTGATAGAGACCGTCCCATTCCATGTTTCTTGAAAATATTTAAGTTCCTTCACTTTAACTGATCAAAATTACTCTGTTAAAGGAATGCAAAATTTTCAATTTCAACTTGTATGACAAATGTTAAAAATGGTCTGCCTCTAGATTCTAAATAGGTATACAAAATGGCATGCGTGTGCATTAAAATATAAAAATATGCTCGAATAGGAGCGATGAAGGACATTTATTTTTGCAGCCGTATGTCACGCCCACCAATAACCTAGACACAGTTCAGATAAGGTTTCAGTCTAGCATATAATCAGCATTCATATAGCTAGATCGTAGTTTTTTTTTAATGGATGATAATGGAACGGTAACCCCGTCTGCGCTATCGATATAGGCTGGTGGGACACCAGTGAGGGATGATAGGTGAAAAATAAAATACAGATCAGTTAGCCCATCGTAATGAATACGTCTGGATTTCGGCGCTATGGTTTTCAAGGGGAATCACGTGGAGATAGATCTGGCAGGGTATATTGCTAGTAATGAGACTGATTGTCCACATTACTGATAATCCCTCCTCTCCCCCTCCCTAACCAGATCTTGTATCAGGAAGAAATATGTTAGTATAGACATATCGACCCCACGCGGTTTCCCCTAGAAACTATCGTGGTTTATTCTTGTGGAATTTGTCACGATGAGATATCTGACTTTCATCTTCATTTATCATCCTTCACTGGTGCCCCACTAGTGTATGCTGATACCACTGGTGTGGGTTACCATTCCATTACCAGGTGGGGTACCTGGAATCAGAGTTTAATTTTATTTTACAAATAGAGCAGTAAATAACTAAAATATTATAAGACTAAAAATTATAGGCGCCGTCAGAATTGTAAATGAACGACCATTCTGTTAATGAATGTGATTCAGTTTGATAAAGCTCTTCTTAAATTGTCATAGATGAATTTTTATTTTTCATAATGTGTCAGTATTATTCGCATCCTTAGGCTTTTATTTAATTAGTAGCAGGAAAATATTAAGTTTGATTTTATTTTTACTTTATTACGCTTAATCCAGTGCCAACGTTTAGAGATTAGTAACATTGTAGATACAAAACCATAGCGTCTAAATTACGCAGTTATCATAACTTTTAAATCAATGACAATTAATAGAAACCTGACTTTACAGCTTTTCAAATATTTCTTTAAAAAATATGGCGAGAAAAACTACAAAAAATTGAGATTTACTCTTGCGGTGCCTAGAGTTATCAAGTAATTATTTGTCGCTCAAATTTTTTTTATTTTTAGTATAATAATAATAATAATAATATCCGTATTATACTAAAAATAAAAAAAATAATTGTAAAAAAAAGTATTATAAAAGAATGTTACTTATTTGAATTTCATTCTATAGATCGGTAATCCAATCATCTCTTAATATATAATAGTTTATAATCAATGACTCGCAAGTGGGGCACAGCTTTCAAATAAGAGGGACTCTATAATTGCCTTAGAACTTGCTTAACTATTGGCTATTCCAATTTCCAATCCTGTCTGAAACCCAATATCATAAATATTTATTAGTTTAATCAAATATTTATAAACAATTCACAAACAAGATTACTTATAATGATCTTAATACGATTAACCTTGCTCACGGTTATCAAACGGTAAATCTATTCGTCCTCAAACCATTGTGCATACGGTAAGTAAACTTTGATAACAGCGATAACATTCGCGACTAGGGGAGCCGTGCCTTCCCCTCGCCGGCAAAGGCAGTTCACGTCTCACTCCGGCCGAGTTCGTACGTATCGGCTGAGACGACGCGGCATCGGCGCCGCGGCCACCACACGACGTTTTAATATCATAAACAGTGAACCAATCCTTACACAGCAACAGGACTATGATACGTATTACGAATACTAATTAGGACCTGCACAGAACAATAGTTGTGACACAAAATCTAAACAAAACAATAGAATCGAGATTCCGGTCAGTGCCGACGGAAGTGAAGTATTAGAAGCTGGAGAAAATTTGGAAACAAAAATTTGCAAGTGATTATTCAATAGTGCATCGTATTGTTCGAGATCCACGACCTTGTAATGTTAATCGCCCATAAAATTACGATTGGTCATAGTTTATTACATAGCGCAGGTGAATCGGATAGTGGCAATGATCCAAATGACGATAATCAAGACGATATAAAACTTTTGAGTGATGTAAACGTTGGAAATGAAACAACTTTTCCGTTTGGATGTGATGGCACTTCTGTTCAAGAAACTCAAACAAATCAACTGAGTTACATGGGAAAGTAATTGTCTTTTTTTAAACTTGGAATTGGTAATGACAATGTTGGCAGTGAAGAATTTCTTTATGCCAGAGAAGAGGGTGGATTCCCCGAGGTTCTCTCGAATGCCGGAGGCTTTAATGAGATCGATTCGGAGGAGGTCCCTGAGGGTGAAGAGGACGAAATCGCTTGTACTCGTCAACGAGAAACGGAAGTCCGGTGAGTGGTAGTGTATGACCTCATAATAAAAAATAATATCAAATTAGCAGTAACGATAATATCTTGTATATACCTGTCTGCCCTATATGAGCTGTCCACTGCTGATGCATTTTATATGTTATTAATAGTTCTATCCTGATTATCTGCGCACATATTATGCTACTTTTATGTCGGTACATATTGATTTATTAGAATCTCTTATCTGGTTTTTCTTGTATTGAGTACTGCAGTTATTAAATACTATAACTGTAGTTAATATGATTATACACTACGAGTTTATATTCATACCGCAATTTTCATTTACATTATCTAATGAAATCTATCGAAATCTTTTTGTTTGAAAAATATTTAACAAATTGCCTCATGAATTAGTCGGTTCAGAATTATGAAGTCTTGAGTAGCCATTTACCCAAATTAATGCTAGGGAATTTAAATATATATGTTACATGTTTATTACAATTGTGAAATAATATTGAATTAGTACTGCAATACATGCATATTGTATGAATTCATTGTCAAATCAAGGGCAACTCTCTGTAAGAATTAATGAACCGTAAATTATCTTTTAGTCAACAAAAACATATTACGTACTCATTTTGGTGGAAGGTGGCGCATATTTTTCCCATTTGTCATTCATTGTTGATAAATTATTATCAAAAAGCTCAGTTTGGTAGAGTTCCCTAAACGAGATCTAGGGTATTAGCATAAAAATGTAACAAGATAAGTGAAAAAAAGTAATATATTTATCAAAATCTTTAGATCGCAATCTTTAGTTTGTATTTGGTTGGCATGGTTATGTCAGATAAGCACTTACACATCATTGTAACGATGATTGATGGTCTGTAGTCATCTAATGTTAAATGTGACTAGGTACTTTTACATTACATCGCAGAAAAAAATGTCAGGCCGGTTTGACCTGTCGACTATTTCTGTACTTTATGGCAAGAAGTAAATCATTCTGTCATTAGATTCTCGAATAGATAAGTTGCAAAATAATATTGATTTTTCAATTTCGTAATCTTTCAACGATTTTATGTTTATGTATATTGAAAATTTGATCGATGTTCTGCTTTTAACCAACTTCTGAATAATATCTACTAATGTTCAGACTTCTAAAATGAAATGCTTAGTTGGTCTGCAGTTTTTTGTATGTTTGTTACTTAGGGGTACATTACGCAATATCTTTGCGGATTTAGAACTTTTTTTTATCGATTTCTTGTAATCGATGGAATTAATTCCATGTTGTTTACATATTATTTTAGTCACGATTGAAACAGCTCTTTGCGGAGCAATAACCTGCATGTTCAATTAAACATTTCAATACAATTAAAATTTTGTCCACGATACTGTAATGTTATTTTGTTCTAGTATTGCACAACGTAAGGTTGTTTCTGCTGACATCTATGTAATTGATGTGCCGATGATGTAACGAAGTCATTGAATTGTGAGAGAAAATCGGTAATTTACTTCAACTCTAATGTGCTTATTGTGATTTAGAAATCATCAATGCATTATGCATTGCACGTGAACACTAATCGACTACCTATCTACGTAAGTTATGCAGCTTATTTGCTTTTATAGCGACCAGCTCTTCCGTGATATGTTAATACGAAATAGCCGCTAGTGACTTCATCTACGTAATTGGAGTTTCAGAGTTTAGTTTTGCGTTTCTGATTTTTAAATACATTTAGATGTCTGGGATAAAAAGTTTGGTATATTGTAAATTAACCTATTTATAATATTAATATACGTACATTGCCAAGACTTCAACGAAATGGGTACACGTGTTATGACTCGGTGATCTAACAACTGGTGGTAGAGACTCTCGAGAAAGAGAGAGAATCTTGAACTCATTCCTCACTCCCCATATTATACACCAAAACCCAATTCCTACCGGTACTCCAATGAATGCGACCGTATACCTAAAAAGTACTCCTTTCTTCCATGGGAACACACAATCTCGTGATTTCGCTTCGAGGACGTTAGTTTTCTCCAATATTATAAAATGATTGTAAAGCAATATATAGTATTTCATGCATCAATAATGTACAAAATTGTTTAACCTCCGCAAAGGGGAATTATTACAAATTAGATCTTTCTTTATTAGAAGATAATGGAATTGCAACACCATCCACGCTAACGGTATACGCTGGCGGGGCACTATTGAAGGATGACAAGTGACAATGAAATAGCAAGTCAGCTAGCCTATCGTGATGAATACACCTGTGATTCAGCACGATAGGTTGAAGAAAGGACCACATGGACGTCGACCTGACAGGGTATATTGCTAGCAATGGGACTGGTAGTACGCATTACTAACAATCAATTTTCTCCAAAATTAGAATCAAATCTGATAAAGCAGGGGGGCGGGATTGATAGCAATGGGGAGGTAAGTCCCCATTGATATCAATATAACCTATCAGGTCGACCTCCACGCGGTTCCCCCTGGAAACCATCATGACTAATTTATCGTTGAATTCGTCACGATGGGCTAACTGACCTGCCTTTTCATCCTCAGCAATCATCCTTCACTGGTGCCCCGCCAGTGTATATCGTTAGCGCAGGCGGGGTTATCAATCCATTATCATCTATTAAAAAAAAACCTGATAAAGCAAATCTTTGCTCAATCTATAATCTTATAAAGTATTTTTCGACAAATTATTTATTTGAGTAAATGTTCTGGCTTTATTACATTCATTGTAACGAAGAAGTATGCAATACCTGAGTATCTCATTAACATTACTTGATACTTGTTAAGGAGTTTAAAGGTAATTAGTACGCGTTTATTCAGCGATTTCCTGGATTGAATGCTTAATGGTTTCTAATTTCGTATTGCTTTTATCATGATGACCTTTATTATGTATTAGTCGACTTGTTTACTTAACAATTGTTTTATTAATAAAGTCCATAGTTATAGTTTATAAATAGATAACGCCACTTTTTTAATTGTGGAAATTATTTTTTGGTATTAAAATATTTTATAATAGAAAAGAGGATACTGACTGATCCATATATGAACGTACAGCAGAAACCGTGGGATTTAGAATTTTAAAATTTTGCAGATAGGTATTTTGTATAGCGTAAGCGAATAATAAGAAAGGAATTTGAAAATTCTAACTTTAAAGGAACAAAACGGAGATAAAAAATTTGTATGGAATTTCGTTAGTTTAGATGTTAGACACATGAAATTCTTGAAATTGGCTCACGATTCAAAACAAAACCTGCGAGAAATCTAATATCACTCGCAAGCGAAATCGCGGGCAGAAGCTAGTATGTCATATTAATCCGTTAATCTTTTTACAAATATTATAGATAATAACTACTTTTATAGGCTCATATTTTGCCGTAAACAAACGAAAAGTACTCGGCTAAATAATTTAAGATTGTGTTCCACAAGAAAGCGTACTTTAGTTGTGATAAAACTAGATATTTTGATTTCAAAACTAAACTGCTGAATTGATTTTCTATGGGACTAATCTGTAAATATAACCTTTTAGATAAAAAAAAAATCAAATCGATTTATAAATGACCATGAAACTGAACCTCCTTCTTTTTGAAGTCGGTTGAAATGTAGAATTGTGTTACGATAGAAAACACTTTTTTTTATATAACTTAGAATGGCAAACAAATGCCCCACCTGATGGAAAGTGGTAACCGTCGCCTATAGACATGAGCAGTACCATGGACATAACAGAGTACACTGTTTCGCCCATGATACCCCCCATGCGTTGCCATTTCTGAGAACTCAGGTGTTATTCCTCTGTGCCCTGTAAATTTTACTTTTTTCGTTTTTAATCTAGCTGTATGCATTTTTAAATATTTTTCATTAAACCATCGTTAATAGAATGTTTCATTACGTGTGTTTACATTTGATTTAATGTAGCATGAAAAAGGGTCTTACTGTCATGGTAAATAGTAAAATCTTTATAATTGCGCCATCTAATCATTGTATATGTCTAGGTAATCTCAATGAAGTAGTTCCAACTTCGTTATAACTAACTAAGGAAAATACATGTGTAATTGCATTTCTGATTAGAATAAAGCGTTCCATACATGGGATTCAGTTTTATATGTGTTTCACCAGACTGCTTTTCGACTTCGCCTTCTTAGGTTGTCATATTCAATTAAGAAACCGGTCGTGACTTTAATGTTGTTGCCAGTAGAAGCTACTTAGATTTCCTTTTAAATGTTTTTGTTCTTAATACTATGAAATAGTTTAAATTGAGAGATGTAATTATGTATTCAACTAATGAGTTGATACTATTGTTTCTGCACACCCCAATGGGATACAGGCGTGACAGATTTGTATTTATTTTTATTTATTTATTTTATTTACACATTAACACTTAAATAATATAATTAATTAGATACAATCTCTCTTTAAAAAAAATAATATAAATTATACATGTTACATATGACAAAACAACATAATGATGAAGATTACACAATTATATAATAACATTACTATTTTACTTTGAAATTATAATGAAAATAAAAACATATAAAAAAAAACAAAATGAATGTAGCAGTGTTTGTGCAAAGGACTTACTCAATATATGTCGCAGTTTCAAATCTGAAACTACGACCTGTATAGGTATGAATCGATTACAAGGTGCATTATTTTTAGGCGAATTTTTTTTTTTTTTTGAGTGATTACTCAATTCAATTTATTTATTGCATTCTACAATATTATTTTGAAATATCTTAATAATTAATAAAGTATATTGTAGACCCTTTCGGGCATAAAAATTAGAAATGAAATTAAATGGATCAGCGATGTATTTGTACATGTTACAGTATATTTGTATATATTAATATTATGTTTTTTTTATACGTTTATTACTTCATAACTTCGTTAGTTCTAAACCGATTTGGATTTTTTTTTAATCTAAATGGTATACGTATAATTTGGTCAAAAAGAAATTTTATCTAAATCGTTTCAGTCGTTTAGTTTTTATATCAAAATTACTTGTTTTGTTACAATGTTGACTTTTTTTGTG